GGGGGCATTTTTAGTTTTATAATATTCCACTCACACTGGTTGGATATGAGACGATTATAGCCAACTCGGCACTACACGCCTTGTTGGCTATCTACCATCTAATATCCAATGCATACTTGTGGAATAATAATTGTTAAAAATATGGATGCCTTATTATCTTGTAGCTGATTTAATTTGGGACAGTTTCATTCATTTCTTGTTATCAGAACTGGGTTAAAATTTGAGCCCAAGGTTATAACATTAAGGTTGCTTGAGACACTGCATTCCCATTTGCAGCATTCTATCACATTTAATCAGGTGATCCTGTAAAACAGGTATCAATAAACAGATGAGATGCAAAATGTTGGCAGTGTTTGTTGCCATTGAAACATTACCATTTTTGCCCAAATTAATCATGAGGTTAAAGGACTTCCAGTGTTTTCATTAATTGGTGGAAATTTTTGTTTACACTTTGTAAAGGTAATCGTATGAATGTGCAAGTCCAATTAAGGATTTACACGACGAGTGATATTTGAAAATTCTCTCAAAATTGCACGAGTCCCTAGGTGGGTGCAATTCGAAAAAATTTTCAAATATCAGTGGTAGTGTTAATCTTTATTGCTCAAGCTTTCACATGATTACTACTCATTTATTGAATGACGGAGGAAATTGTGAACACGTGCATGTTAATTTAAAAGTTGTCAGTGCAAATTGAGAATCAAGGACAAATAAGCCAACCATCAGTCAATCACAATGAAGTTTCCTCAGTCATAATTCTTTGGTCCAAAATTAGAAATTATCTTTCCTTCTGAGGTTTCAGTTTCATCAGATAAAAGACCCTATAGGAATGTGACGTTTGACAAGGTGTTAGCTCGACAGAGTTATTCTTTTTGTTATAGAGCACTAAAAGCTTTTGCGTTGCGTGACATGAAAATGGCAGTCCGAAAAGACTATGGCGTAGGCCAAAAGATGAGTTATCGCTTTAGTTTTTGCTAAATAAACGGTGCTTGCACTAGAAGAAACATTTATTTCAATGTGTCAGAGCTCTANGTGGAATAATAATTGTTAAAAATATGGATGCCTTATTATCTTTTAGCTGATTTAATTTGGGACAGTTTCATTCATTTCTTGTTATCAGAACTGGGTTAAAATTTGAGCCCAAGGTTATAAAGTTAAGGTTGGTTGAGACACTGCATTCCCATCTGCGGCATTCTATCACATTTAATCAGGTGATCCTGTAAAACGGGTATCAATAAACAGATGAGATGCAAAATGGTGGCAGTGTTTGTTGCCATTGAAACATTACCATTTTTGCCCAAATTAATCACGAGGTTAAAGGACTTCTAATTTTTTCATTAATTGGTGGAAATATTTGTTTACACTTTGTAAAGGTAATCATATGAATGTGCAAGTCCAATTGAGGATTTGCACTACGAGTGATATTTGAAAATTCTCTGAAAATTGCACAAGTCTCTAGGTGGGTGCAATTCGAAAAAATTTTCAAATATCAGTAGTGTTAATCTTTATTGCTCAAGTTTTCACATGATTACTACTCATTTATTGAATGACTGAGGAAATTGTGAACATGTGCATGTTAATTTAAAAGTTGTCAGTGCAAATTGAGAATCAAGGACAAATAAGCCAACCATCAGCCAATCACAATGAAGTTTCCTCAGTCATAATTCTTTGATCCAAAATTAGAAATTATCTTTCCTTCTGAGGTTTTAGTTTCATCAGATAAAAGACCCTATAGGAACGTGACGTTTGACAAGGTGTTAGCTCGACAGAGTTATTCTTTTTGTTATAGAGCACTAAAAGCTTTTGCGTTGCCCGACATGAAAATGGCAGTCCGAAAAGACTGTGGCGTAGGTCAAAAGATGAGTTATTGCTTTAGTTTTTGCTAAATAAACGGTGCTTGCACTAGAAGAAACATTTATTTCAATGTGTCAGAGCTCTA